GCAAAGCTGCCTATCATCGAAGCTGACGGTGGTGGTGGTGGTACTGGCGGTTGTACTATCCGTTTGGGATCAAGGCAACTAACCGAACGTTTTCTCTTTGTATGTCAAAAATTTTCTACAACTGAAAATGAATTCATTTAATTTGTATATTCTTCTGATTTAAGTTTGATAGTTTTGAAAATGTCACTCTACTCAACTTTCATTGAAGGAAATATTTTTTTCGGTAATGAACTAATGATATTTGTCCCGAAAAGGTCGAAACTGAATGTGGCGAAGAAACTCGTATAGCGTCGAAGGCCTTTGATTGTGTGATACACATCTGATCGCTACTTTTTGCTAGATTCGGATTTCCTCTGAAATCCATCTTTAATTGTTTCATCCCTTTGTATCCTCGGATTTTGTACAACTGTTGTTCGTCCCTTTCTGTTTTCCTCCAAGGTTTTTGTTTTACCCTCTACTCCTTTTCCCTGCGCTCCCCCCCCCCCCCCTTTNCACCTTTTTTTGACCACCTCCAACGCCGTCATTTGTGGTGTTTTGTCGATGACGTCACCGTGCATTTTCTTTTTGTCGTCCTTTGTGAACGCGGAATCAATTATCCGCCGGTTGATGAATCACTGAAAAAAGGCTTGTTCGCTCAAAGCATCTATTCTTTGATTCCTTTTTGTACTCAATGATGTGATCTAAAGTGTGATATATTGAGAAATATTTGCTATCTTTTGTCACTTCGTTCCCTATCATTTTCGCAATTTCAACATGAGTATTTTTTAATTGTTGGTTATCGTTATATTTTCTCTATCAATCTACTTATGTCTAACTTCTCCGCGTCTCTCTCTCCTTCCTGTTTCTGTATGCGCTTACGATCAGCTTTATGTGGACAAAATATCCCCACCGGATCTGCGTGATGAGACGGATGAGATCTGGTATGGTGTTGGATTCGGTCCCGATTACATGGTGAAAATCAGTGACCATGTGCAGGGACCTGTTGTGCCATATCCGTATCGGACAAGATCCGGCGCGCTGGGTGACATGCCCAATACTGGTCGGTTCGGTTTGCTTTTATTACCTGATTTGACTGTGTACACAGTTTTTTTAACAAAAAGTTCATATATGGTTGACAGCAATGAATGCATTCGTTTGCTCTATGCATGTGTTGACTTGTTTTTTTCCAGGGTCTGCTCACCTTTTTATTACGTGTTTCTTGCAGTGTGCAGTCTCGCTGTCGTGTGGTTGATTACAACGCCTGCATCACATCATATTCCGGGGTTAAGATTACCGTTTAACATTAGCGATTAGTAGGTCCCCATGACTGCCAGTTTACTGCCTCTGCTGTCTATCATCATAAACTGATGTGCGATAAAAATCAGTAACCTATTCTGTAGTCTGGGAAACCGGCAATATGGTAAGCGCTAGAACTTGATATGATTACCCACTCTCCTATCTGATGGGGATAGATATCGTAATGAGTTAGTTTCGTATCACCGTCAATTGGAGAAGTACCTTACATTCACGCAGCTGGACATCAGGACTACTGCCTTGTAGATAACGTCGGATAAGAAGGAACTCGTTATTCACGCGAATTCCTCGAAGTCTAACTTCCTTAAAAAGTGTCAAAAACGTATTGACAGTGATATTCTGAAAACCACTAAGAAATCGTTGTCACCGACGCGATGAGGAAAATCCAGTCGTATTTATGGTTCTCATCTCAATCGTACATTATTTTTTGACTGTCTTTCTCTTAGGTAAACAGGAATATTTTTTTCTTCAACTGGTTAGACACTTGTCTATCTCTTTGCCTATCTATCTATCTATCTATCTATCTATCTATTTGTCTAGTTATCTATCTATCGTTGAACAGGGAGAACTTCGGAGCAAAGAACACAGTTAATCGAGAAATGGTTTTAAATTAATCTGTATTTTACTCAAATTCGTGGTACAATCGGGAGCCAGTCTTCAGTGGAGTCCCTTATTAAGCCAAAAGCTGATCTAACGGTCGGTCGGGAGATACTTCGTAAATAAGGAACAAGGGAAACCAGTGGTCTGGTTTGAAACGGAGTGATATTCCATGAAACTGACGGTACAAGGAAACTAGGATGCTTAAGCTATTCGTTCGATGAGAATTCATTTGAGCGTCGCAACTGTAGTTCAAGCCGATTGCACAGGTCACTAGTGAAGGACGAAGCAGTCAAAAAGCCTTCCAAAGTCTGCTCACAAGATGAGAATTTTGCATTGCTGAATAATTGGTATATCGACCACTCGTACATATGTGGGACGCAAGGCTACGGACAAAACAAGGAGGAAAGAACGCGCAATATTTAGTCGCAAACAGTCAGAGCTCGGTCACCGGGATCTGAAAAGGATACGTTTTTGTAATTGGTAAACAGAAAATAGATGGATCATGTGTGTGTGCGTGTGTGTGTGAATGCGGTTGTCGAACATCAGAATGCCTGGAAATATCAGTTTGGGCAGCTTCTTTTTGATTTTCATTCTCCGTCATGTTTTTCCTACTATCCCTTGATGCATCGCTGTTATTATTTATCCATTTCACTTTACTGTTTCATACTGCTATGCATGGCTCGGTGTTCTCATGTGTGATCGATGGTTACTTTGCAAAGCGAACTGTAGACTTCCAACAGCATAATCATATTCAATCACGACCAAACAGTCCCGGGATTGAGGGAAATTTCTACGCTCCTGATAACACGTGGACAGGATGTTAATGATCGTTGGTAAAACTGGTAATGTGATGTTCGACACTGCTGCTCAAGCAGAGTTGCTTGTGGTACCTAAGAAATGGATTGCTCTTGAGTAATTTGATTTTTCTCTTTCTCTGAAATTGTGTATATTTGGGCAACACAGTTTATTTTACTATTCTTCAGGTGGGGACATATTCATCCACGCGAAGTGCAACGAGCGGGGAAAACTGTTTGAGTTGGCTCAAGCGGTAATCGATGGTCTACCGCAAAAGAGTGTGTCCAAATTTGAAGATGTTTACGGATGGGTGTATCGTAATGGGCGAGATCTGTCCGGTTTTATTGACGGTAAGTATTTTTAAGTATTTAAATTTTTTGGAAAAAGTTCACCCTGATTGGTTTCGTTGATTGCTTCTTAAACTATTGTGATCTTGCGCTTGTTCTGCACAGCGTATTTTCTCTCACTCTCTCTCTCTCTCTCGAGTTTTTATGTAGCTGTATCGATTTCTGTTATTTCCGCATGATTTGACAAGCACTAGTGAGCATTGAACACTTTCCATATCGATCAATATATCATTTTTTTCGTTTGGCTGTCAGGCACAGAGAATCCGGCATCTGAAGATGACCGAGTGAAAGTAGCGATCGATCCTCAGTCGGGTGCAAGTTATGCCATCACACAACGTTGGGTGCACAATTATTCTGTGATCAAAAACACAAAAGGTACGTGAAACGTGTTTGGGTGCACATTCTCCGTATTCCTCAAGTGTTTTGTGCCATTCCCGACGAGTATTTGACCGCGATTACAAACATGAGTCGTTGCTCTTGTCGGTTAGGTGTTTGTTTTCATTCGTGGTGATCTGGATAGCATGTGAAGCTTATTCGATCAACGCGGTTTACGCCGAATGTAAAGTCAAGTGAGCGTGTTGTGCTTGCACCATCCATCAAAGAACCTACACCATTTTGCGTAATAAGCGGTGGTGAGCGGGTGGGTGGGAGGAGGTGTCGTTCATGCATTATCGTTTTAAATGAACGCGTCGTCGATGGATGAGTTGAACCAGTACTGTACTGTCATTATTGAAATTTATCACCTTTTCACATCATCATCGTTATCGTCATCATTGTGTTAGGAAGTGTTGTTTGGATTGATCGTTTGTTTCACTGTTGTACCGTGTTTTTATGATTGGTCCGTATAAGACTTTTGTTTTGCAAACCGGACAATCTGATTGGTTCAAGCTCATGTGTAAACGCCTATAATTCCTGTCCCATATGTGATTTGTGTCCGATGCGCTTAAAAAATATATCGAGAGCACTTCTTGAGGAACTAACTTTTCACAATCACCACCATCATCATCGTTTCACTAGATGCTTGTTCATTGTTAACAATGGAACAATCAAACATTTGAACTCAAATATTATCGTGGGCAAGCTGACCTATCTGGTCTGGTCAATCTGTCCGTTTCGCCTGCGTGAACAGATCATGGATTGGTGTCTCGGTGATAAGCGTTTGTATTCTGTGATTTACCCGACACAGTCCGAACCCGCATCAGTGTGAAATTCGATGATACAGCGCTATCTCCCCCTAGTGCGAACATCGTCAGATTTCTTCACCCCACGGATCTGTTTACTCTTGAACGGTACATTCAACAAATAGCCCATGACCAGAACAAGAAGACGAATTGTCAGCACACTCTTACGTTCTGAATGGTTCCTGTGAAATTATTGGTGTCTAACGCGTTTGAAGCAGTACACTGAAGGGTAGCTACAGTTTCCCCCTTTTTCGTCTCAGCTGCTCGGTGCGTAAATTCCGTGCACAATTCTAAAACACATTTTTCCAGTATTTTTCAGACTGACATGCATTCTTCACCGGAGTTCTTTTGCCTTTTCGCTGTCGTTTCTTTCTTTCTGTCACTGACTTTTCTATATCGTCCGCGTGCTTTAAAGTCCTTGCCCTTCCCCCTCCCCGACTGGTTTCGAATGTCCTTTTGCCCATGGTAGTTGCCATGGTTACACGTTTTCTTTCTAGACGCGTCCTTTCAGGTTAATTCCCATCTCATATTACCTCACTCGCCATCTTCGTTACAAGGTTCTCACATTACTGAAATTGTTTTATGTTTGGGCATTAAAACATTTCACACATTATGAATGTTGTCCTAATGATTACTGGAACGGAAAATTCATTCCCATGAATTATACAAGAAGAATAACTGAACTCAGCCTTGTACCGATCAGCTGCTGTCCATGGTCTGATATGTAGCCTTTAAAGTGCATGAGGTTGCGTGCGTACGTGTAGCAGCATATTTACTATATTTGCTATAGGACCAAGCCAAGATCGCGTTCCCCAGTGGAATGGAATGAGTAAGTCATCGG